ATTTCAGGTCTTCAAGGTGCCAATATTGAAAATGGTGTGCCAAACTGTTTCACTGATTGAGAGAGAAAACTCAACAAATATCTGAAGTACCTTATATAAGCTGAACAGCTTGCTTATCTCTTAAAGTCTGAATGTCTGGAATTATATTGTGACATATTTCATATGTTTATACTATGATCAAGGTTTTAGCTGACAGTGCGTTGGAGAATGAAATGTCATCCAAAAGCTTTATCTTGAGTTTCTAGTTGTTTGTGTTTCTAAGACTAAAGAGTTTGTCCCATTCTGCTCCCCTTACTGACACGTTACAAAAACTGCTAGCAAATAAACGTGGATCCACTTTAAACGTTGAAATGAAAATAAATATTTTAGTGGAAATCAAGCACATTCAGCACATTTTACACACCCAGGTTTTCCACCAACTGCAGATGTTCTTCTTACAAGAACTCTGCAATTCCTGTAGGAAACAATAAATGAAACAAAGGAACAGCAACATTTACCACCATTCACTCATTTTGTCCAGCCTAAGCATACTGACCTGGTCCAACACACAGTGAACCACGTCTTAGATTTATGTTGTAAATATTCTCTCCTTAACCAATGTTAAGATATTGTACTCAGATCACTTTCAAACTTATGCTCACTTTGTGACTTTGGACAACTATGTAAACATGTTAAAGCAGTCCACAATTGTGAGTGAGAAATGCAGTTATTAACCTGCAGAAAAAAGCTCTACATCCTTTAACAAATACAAGTATTTTTGTGTTGCACTAACTTTGTGATTTCTTCTTTTTCACTTCTTGTATTAAGTTGTAAAACATAGAAAATGGCAGTTTTGTCAAAAGTTGTTTGGCCTCAGATTGAATAGTTTCTGTTATGATCTTTAATTAATGTTGCTGTACTTTGCCATTATACTTTTCATTTATTTGTCCTAAATGTCATACAGATGCAGTTCCACTGTTTGAGTCGCTCCATTTGCTCAAACTGTTTTTTGTTTTTTGACACAAAATATGTAGATTGATGTACAGCATACTTATACATTTAATAAGTATATTAAACCTGTTGGATATCACCTGTCACAATTCACATGTGCTCATTTTGTTTTTGCTTACTTGTGTAAATAAAATCCACTGGCTTTGGTTTTGTCATGTGGTGGTGAGTTTGTAGTGGTGAGAATGAGTGCAGGCTGGACCCAGATTGAGAGGTGATGATGATGATTGGTTTACTAGACAGTAGCACAAACAGTCCAGGCGGCACGGCAGAGAACTAAGCAACAACTTGATACCATAGCAACTGAAACTAATAAGACTGAGATACGAGCTAACGCCATCACAGGACTATACAGTTCAGCTGTGACGACTAAGACAATTACTGACAAAGACAAGGACCTGACAAGAGACAGAGACAACAGGACTTAAATACACACGGATAATCAAGGGAACGAGACACACCTGGGAACAATCAGGGGCTGATAGGACAACACAGAAACTCACAAGGAACAGAAGCCAAAATAAACAGTGAAAACCAAAATCCTCACAGGTTTGGCAAGTCAGCTCTTGTGATTTGTCCTTATTAGGGTTCAAAGCTCCAGGGTACATTTCCTGACCAATACAAGAGTTAGACTTTAGTCATATCCAGTTAACACTACACAATTCTTTAACATTCTGAATGTAATCAGAGACATAACATGAAAAGATGCCACATTTAGAAGACACTACTTGAAAGGTTAGGGTTTTTAAAAAGACAAACCTTTGGTGCAAGGCACGTTTACTTGTTTGGCTCCAATCATACACAGGATAATTCAGAGTGCTTTGCAGGAAAACAAAGGAATAGATATCATTCAGATTAAAAACTGTGAATGCACCACAGAGACAATACAGGACATGCCTCCAAATGTGAAGGTTTTTGTCTATGTGTGCATCTGCAAACTGCAGTCTGGCTTGTTTATGTTTCTTTTGAAATAAAAACTTTTTCCTTCCAGAGCAGCTTTTCAACCCATGTTGGCAGGACAGCATGGGTTTCACTGGGAATAATCACTCTGCAGCATCTTCACAACAGCTTTAGCTTTTGTTCTGGTGTAACTCTGCACATTTTGGACCAGAACCTGTCCTTTATACACCATCTAAAACATTTGAATACTTTACCACAATATCCAAACAGCCCTCAGAGAAACTATGAAGTATCTCTTTCCAGTATCCAAATGTTAGCTTGTTTAAATAAAAAATTAATTTTACATCTTTCTGAATAACAGTCTCAATTAATTATTCTTATTACTGTGACTACTGCTTTCATCTGACAAAAGTAAGGCAAGAAAGAAGTTTAGTTTGAAGAAATCTATTAAAGTTTAGGAGATTTCATGATGTTGAAGAATTATAGTTTATTGATTGCTTAAATATGTAAAATATGTAAAATTATTTATATTTTAATATAGTTAGAAATTAAATTAATCATTTACTTGCTGGACAAAGTCTCACATTAAAACAAGCATTGGATTTCTACTAAAGCTTTTGAGAAGAACAGCTTTAGATTAGTAATTCAAGAACATTTTGTGTAAAAAAAATGAAGCATGGATAACATTATTACATGTCCAGTCATTTATCGGCCTCGGGTTTTCTGGCTGAGTTGTGATCCTCCAATCCTGTAGATGGCAGTAAAATTTGAAATATTTCGATGTGTCCGCCGCCAAAATGCTCATTTCACAGAAGAAATATTTTGCTTTTCGGAAGAAGAGCCCAACAAAGCGGCCCTGTTTCTTTTCAGCAAGAAAAGTACTAAAAATCTTCCAAACCGACGATGTACGCCAGGACAAACACAGGCAGCACACATGGAGATTTTCAGGACAGAAATGGAGTGAACTACGTTTCGTCGACAGAGTCCTTCGGCCACTGCTCTCAATTGTTCTGGAAAAAGGACCCGAACGATTCCGGAGTAAGAAAGCCAGTTGTTCCCACCACCATTAGCTAGCGAACCCCAGCCACAAACATACAGCTCACTCTGTTCGCCAACTAGTGACTGAAGCATTTGTTATCACACCTTCTTAGGTTTCTGGAATGCAGTCTGCACTGCATTTGGCTATTCGTTGGTGCAACTGTGCATGCTAGAGCCTTGTGAGCATCCGGCTAACCTGGCAACCGTCATGCTGAGCGCCTTCTGGCCTAGTTTGACCATTAGCTCTCAGCTAACAAACAGGCTAGCCGTTTTCTCCAGTCTTTTACAATCTGTGTGATGGATATGTATGAGCAGCCCGAAGCGCGACGCCGTGGCTGTGCTGCGAAAGATGAAAAATAGTGATAGCTTTGACATAACGCATCACAGGGACTCTTAGCATAGCTGAAGCTAATTTCGGATGCAGGTTTCCCATAGTATAAAGATGTACCGTTAACTGTGTACAGCAAGGCAGTATGGTCCCTTGGTTAAGTCCTGTGTTGAAGTGCGTTTTAACAGCTCAGTTGTCAGACTGTGGGGTTTCTGCTGAACGCTGAGCTCTGGAATATTGTTAACGCAGAGTAAACACGACCAGGCTGCTCGGCAGGAAACGTTAGCGGAAGACGACCCGCGGAGAATGCTTCAAAGCCCCCCTTTGTGATGCCAGACTGTGGTTCATTCATGACCGGAGTCTGCCCACAGAAAGCAGGGGCACACTGAGACCCAGGGCCGGCCCAAGGTTCTGTTGAGGCGGGAGCAGTATTTGATTTGGGGACCCTCTTCTAGTTAAGCCACCACTGCATGATGGTTATTATGGCTTGTGCATTTACCGCAGCTTGCTCTACAGTTCACTAGTAATCCACCAATGAGTCCCTAAGATGGATATTTCACATTTGTTGAAGTGGGGTTCTGCTCATCAGATAAATGTTTATTATATCTCAAAACAAATGCATCTGAAAAAAATTTCTGGAAGTTGTAATTTATGAACCTTTATATCACATTTATATTGGATAACAGTTTGATGTGAATTTGTGCTGTAGAACGAAATCAGTCTGATTTCTGAATTATGACATTTTATCAGTTTTAATGTTGGTGAAGTTACAAGCTGTCAGTTTGGTAGGTCTTTTAATTGCTTTCTATCTTGCGTTCAGCTGAACATTGATGTTACCTTCCTGTTTATCATTGAGGTAATTTAATACAACATAAAGAGGTTAGATGGCGACACACTTCATCAGATAATATGAAATCCTTCTGAGTGTTGGACAGAGGCGTCTGTACAGATAAAAGCCGACTACTTTTCTACAGCATGTCTCCCTGTAGGTTCAGTTGAACCTCCCTAACTAATGCAGAAGTGCACTATGTTGTTTTATGCATTTTTGATCTACAAGATCCATTCAAAAAAACATAACAGGAGCATCTGTAAAGAAAAGGCTCTGATTGCTGTTAGATTACTAGTCATTCTGTGTGTGTGTGTATGAGAGAGAGAGAGAGAGCTATGGGAGGGAGTTGCTATGATGTAGCTAAGCAGGATTTCAGGGTCTTTTAAAACAAATTCATCACAGTTCTGGGCATTTAAGCTGCCAGTCAGAAACGTGCGTCTTTATCAGTCATTGGTTCACACTGTGTGTGTGGAGAAAGAGCTGCTTTCCCACCGCTTTAAAATGACAGGCGCTGGGAAATGTATCAAATGAATCTTTATCTGTCTAGGTTTGTGAACGTTCCACGTTTTGCCCTGATTGGCTGTCAGGAATTGTTTACGTCATTGTCTTGGCTTGAACCTTTAGCATGGATGGGCTGGCCCAAAACGTCTGCTACCACTAGTCTGTAGGAGCCTGGTGAAAAGCAGCCGACCTTGGGCTCAGTCATGGCTGACCTTTTGGAGGCGGATCTGATCTGCTGGTGAACTGAGACATTCAGCTGACAGCCACTGACTGAACAGACTGAGACATGACAACAGTGATTACACTCATTGGCTATTTTAGACTAAAACAGTAAATAATGAATAAAACAAAATGAATATTTCAAATATTGAACATAAAGTTTAAAATGAGTGCCAGTACTTTTTCAAACAGTGGTTTAGTTTGAGCTTAATTGAATAGTTGACTTTTCTAAATAAAATATTTTGAATTAAAAATGAAATGAGTTTGTGTGTTGTCTGGTGGTCCAGTTTGTCCAGTGTTGGTGCCACCTGGTGGTGTGTGTTGGTGGCCTCAGCTGGCTCTGGCTGCTCTGGGCCTTCAGTGGGAACTCTGTGTTTTCTGACGGTGGTGGACTAAACATCACCTGGACTTACCTTTCTCAGCCCCTGACCTCTGTTGTTTGCTGAAAAACATTTTCAGTGAATGTTTTTCTCTTTATTTGGTAAACGGTTTGAATTTCTGAGGAGGTTTTGTGGTCACAGAGCACTCAGGCAGGTTAACTCTGCTGCAGAGCTCAGGTCAGAGGCTGCCTGGCTTCAGGGCAGTGTGGCAGGAGGAAGCTGGATTTGAACCCACATCTTTTAGACTGCCAGACCTCCACTGCTCCTTTTGAGCCCATTTTACCGTGCACCTTTTCTGTTTTCCCTGACCTTCAACACCAGTTTAAAAAAAAGGAAAAAATACTTAATTGATTTTAGTTTTTGGGAAATTGCTGCAACTGAAGAATATTTTGGTTTCTATTCATATTATTTTTCTTGGTATTTTACTGCCAATTATATATATATATATATATATATATATATATATATATATATTTTTTTTTTTTTTTAATTATTATTTGATCAAGCTTAAATTTATTTCTTGTTTTATTATTTTTCTATCTACAGTGTTGTAACTATTGTGAATCAGTTGGGTCAGCTGAGGTTGTTGCAAATGTGCTGTCAAGAAAACTTTGACTAGACTCCATGTTGTTTTGAGTCTTACACAGGGGTGTCCAAAGTCTGTCCTGGAGGGCCGGCATCCTGCATGTTTTAGTTCTCTCCCTGGTGGTAGTAACAACCTCCTCAGCAAGTCAATTTTCTTCTTAGGCCTCTAATGAGCCATCATTTGATGCAGGTGTGTTAAACCAGGGAGAGAACTAAAACATGCAGGATGCCGGCCCTCCAGGACCGACTTTGGACACCACTGGTCTAACACTTCTGCTGTTTGTTTTCTTCTACAGCCAAGTTCAACCATCAGCTGGTGTGACCAGCTGCCTCCGTCCTCTGCGGCCCTTTCTAGCTCCAGTCTCTCCTCGGCGTCACTTTCTAGCTCCAGCCTCTCCATGGAGTCCCGAGCACCCGCGCCTCCGCCCCCGCCGCCTAGTACGACGGCGTCAGACGACATGGAGTCAGATGAGAGGCCGTACGTCTGCGACCTGTGTAACTGCGCCTACAAACACGCCAGCTCTCTTCTCAACCACAAACTCACCCACAAGACTGGAGACTTCAAGTGAGAACTCTCTCTCAGAATCTAGATATTAATATCTGTGTTGATCTCCATATTGAAAAAAAAATCTAGATTATCTGTGACAAAGTGATCCATAAAGTCAGATTATATTTAGAATTCCTAATTGCACTTTCTGAAACATTTGAAAGAAAGTTTGTTGCAGTTTATTTTACCTTTGACCAACGTAGTCAATCTATTGTTTTTATCAGTTTATTTATTTTCATTGGCTGTTCTACTTCTAATTGCACCAGCTGAACAAATGAAAGTTGTTTTTTCATGTTTGACTGAGACCCAGAAGCTGTTGGTGTGTTTCAGTGAGCTGTACTGGTGCAGCGTTATCATACATTTCTAATTCAGTACATGGCTACATTCACACTGCAACCTGAAGGGACCCACATTTTTTGTTGCTCTTATGCAATCTGAATCTGATCTTTTCATGACATTCTGGACAACACAGGTCAGATTTTTAGGCTGCTGGGAGATGTGACCCTGAGTCTGATACGGTTCTGATCTTTTTCAATGTGACCTGTGTCTGTACGGCCGAGTCGCATTCATCTGACCTGAATGTCATTCATACTCGATACACGTCACTATCCTGCCTCCTGAAACACAGAGAAACAACAACCACAGTGGACGATAATAAGGATGAATTTGTTGAAGTGTTTTAAAATCACGGTGTGCTCCACCACAAACACTGAGCATGCTTGCTACGTGCAACATTACTGTGCCCTCTGCTGTGCTTGCGGGACACTTTAAGGTTGATTGCTGTTTTCTGTTTTCTTACAAGTTGCATATATTTGGAAATGTGAACGACCACGCAAAGAAATGTGGATTTCACAGAAAATCAGAATGGAGCATAAAGCCTGCAGTGTCAACGTAGCCTATATGTGTGTTTGAAAAAATAAACGTTTTAAGCCAATTTAGCTGTTCTTCGTTATCAGATTGGTATCAGCATTGGCCTATACTAAACATCAGATATCGGTATTTGAAGTGAAGACAGTGGATCTGTTCACCTCTGTCCACACACTGAGTTTTGTTTTGCTCTGACCTGTTGTCGGTTTCTCCTCAGGTGCGACTTCTGCAGCAAGCCCTACACCAACTACATGTCGCTACGCAACCACATGCGAATCCATGGTCAGAAACGCTACATGTGCGACCTCTGTGGCAAGGCGTTCCGCCTGGCGCGGTACCTACGGAACCACCAGAGGATACACGACGACGGGCCCAACCGCTTTGACTGTCCGTCCTGCTGTAAAAGCTACCGCACCATGCTGGAGCTGGCCCAGCATCGCTGCACTGCTGCTGCCTCCAACCAGGTACGCCGTTGGGCCGCTGCGCTGCTGTGAGCTGGAGGTTGAGCAACGTTGCTGATGACAGGCTTAGCAGAGAATCAGTTGAAAACATGGTAGTGCAGGAAGACCTGCTATGATCTAACAGCTGTTAGTCAGCTGTTTCCTCTATTTATTCATTCACTGAAATATCTTCTGAAAATTATTACAAGATTTATTCATTCTTTAAGAAATTGTGTGTAGAGGAGGATTTTCTCCCTTTCACTGATAAACATGGACTTTGGAAATAACATGGAGTTCATTTTGTTGGGAATTATCATCAGCCTTTTCTAAATAAAAAAACCTTCACTACTTTCACTCAGTAGTGAATTGGAAATCCAAAATGTTTTTCAAGAATATAATGTTTCTGCTTTTTAAGCTCAACAAGTCTGGGGAAAAAAAACCTCCAGATTGTTTCTCTGCATAAAGATCTGAAGATTTGCTGCGTAGAATTTTAGCTGTCATTTTAAGAGCCTGGTTGAGAATGTAAATATAAAATGATGAAACCAAAGGATTTCTGAAGTTAACTGAATTATTTAATTGCAGAGAAAAAAAAATTACCTAATTGCAAATCAAAAACTGAACATATGACTTTTTGTCTCCAAAATCCAGACTAGAGTAAATTAGTGTAGAAGTTGAAGTCATAGCCTGGTTAAGCATCTGATCCTCTCTGGGATTCTCTCACTGTGAAGGAAATATTTGTAAATAAACTAGGGGGATTTGAGTCAAAGTTCCTTTAGCAGTCCTACTTTAGGAGCAGCTCAGTGAGAAAATAGTTAAGTTACTTTATTTTGGTGATCTGGCTCAGGCAGTGAAATGTATATGATTTAGATTGATTCCACGCAGTGATTTGTGGTCAGTAGAAATGTTGTAGAATGAATAATGTACTTTGTTGTCTGCAAGAACGCCAGTCGAAAAGCTAAGAAATATAAAAGTGACATAGAAATATAGCAAAATGTTATCTACAAGCACAAATAAGAGAAAAGTAATATACACCAAATATAAATAAAATGTAAGCAGATTGTTGGTTGTTCAAATGTAAAACTGTAGTGGTTCACACTTTCTGTTGACATTAAGGTTTCTAACTTACAGAAAATGAGATTCAAATTTAAGTTTGTCAGAGAAGGAGATGATTACATCAGAGCAATAAAAGAGATTTTTAATACATAATGTTGGTTTGATTTGAGTTTACCACAGTTTGCCTGGTAGTCTGAGTTTGACTGTTGTGGGTGCAGCACGGTGAGAGGTAGATGATCTTTTAAGTGGTTGCTATGGCCACAAAAACACGATATTGAAGTTGGCCATGCTCATTTTATGGCTTATTTAATTATGGGAAGACTGCTGACCTGTTAGTTGTCCAGCAGACAGACACCGTCCACCAGAAGAGTAGCCACTAAAGGTAAAAGGTTTCAGTAACATTAATAGAAAGTTTAGTGAAAGGAAGAAAATTGTGGACAATACTTGGACAGGATGAAATTGAGCACGCTCCCTGTAATGGATCCATGTGATACGAGTGTTTTTATTTGAGTTACTGAAATATGATGCAGAGTTTGTAAGCCTACTTAGATCCTCATTTTTGATGAGAAAAGCAACATTAGGAAAGCTTGCCTGTATGGATGTTGATGTGTCTGACTGCCAGAAACATGTAGCAGTAGGATTCTCTTTTTACATGTGTGTATGGACCTAACATGATGTGTTTCTCCTGGACTCTGTGCCTCCCAGCTGTAGTTCCAGCAGCCTCCTGCTGCCGACCCACTGACTGAATTAGAGCAGGCTCAGGTCAGGGACAGCTTTAAAACTCACTGACAGACTGGACAACAGCTCAGCAGATCTTCTGCACAAGTGTAGTAATCCAAACTTCTGTGTGTGTGTTTTTGTTTGTTTGTGTGTGTGCGTGTGTGTGTGTGTGTGTGTGTGTGTGCGTGTGTGTGTGTGTGGGGTTGGTTCATAAGAACCGGTTCAACTGCCCGTCCTGCTTTAAGAGCTACAGAACCATGCTGGACCTGGCCCAGCACCGCTGCAGCGCCGCGGCCAAAAACCAGGTTGGTGTGAGCGTGACTGAGCATGTGTGAGAGGTCAGAGGTCAGCAGAAAAACTTGGAGCTGTGAAGGAAGGCCAACATTTACTGGAGTTCAACAAACATTTTATTCTCCGTATGATGAAACTCTGTCCTTCCTGCTCTGATGGCTTCCTGCCTCTTTCATTTTAAGCCAGGGATGCTAAGCTTAGAACAAAGCTACCTGAGTCCCACACAGGCAGGACCAACAGGATTTGACATCATAAAAATCTCACATATGATGTTTATCTAAGCTGCATTTTGGAAGTAAAAATAAAACTGCATATTAAATAAAAGATCCATAAACATTTAGACTTTTCTTTCTCAGCTGATGTTTTGGTGCTGTACAAAAATGAAGAGACCCCTGCAAAATGGTCAGTTTTCTGATTTTACTCTTTATAAGTATATGTTTGAGTAAAATGAATGTTCTTTTAGTCTATGAACTACTGACATGTCTCTGAAATTCCAAGCAAAAACATAGTATTTATTTGCAGAAAATGAGAAATGATCAAAATAATGTCAAAAAGATGCAGAGCTTTCAGATCTCAAATAATGCAAAAAACAAGTTCATGTTCATTTAGAAACAACAATACTAATGTTTGAACTCAAGAAGAGTTCAGAAATCAATATTTGGTGGCATAACCAGAGCTATATAAAGCATTCTGTGCATTTTCAGGTCAAGATGTTTATAAATAAAAACATCATGTTTTGCATTAGTATAATCTCAGATCAAATAATAAACAACTTTAATCTGATAACATTTATTTAGTGAAAATTAATCTACATAAAGACATAGTTATTAGCTAATCATTCCTAACTGTCCTAATCATAATACAGCTGAAGATATTTTTTATGTTGTATACTTTTACTTAAAGTAAAGTTTAGACTTGTGTAAAACAATAGAAATAATGCTGAAACCTAACCAGCTGGAGGTGTGATGAGTCTGTCCGTCCAGCATCATGAGCATCCAGGAAAAAGCTACCATCAGACAATTAATGTTAATTAATTAAAACATAATACATTTTTGAGTGGTCAATAATCTTTGATTAATCTAGAATTGATTACCAAGTCGATTAATAATTAACTGCAGGATACAGACTCGAAAAAAGGCCATTTACTGAAAGAACACCACAGTCAGAGCAGTAATGAAGCCAGAACTGTGCAAAAAATATGTACATTTTGCATTTTACATTAAAAAATCTTTGTAAATTTTCTCTACATAAAACTCAAGTGGTAGTTTTAATTTCACCTGATTCACATTCTGTTTGAACAAATCTATTATTAAGCACCTTTTGATATCTAATTATGAATCAATTAATCCAATAAATCATCCTCTGGTCAGTCCGGCAGAAACAGCTGAACTTTTCTCATGTTGATGTCAGAAGGATTTCTAGCTGCGGCTTCTTCCTTTGCTACAGATGATCAGTTGTTCACTAAAGGAATGTGATTAAATTTTGGGCAATAAAATGTTTATGTTCTGATTTAATTCCTTTTCTTTTGATATGTTTCTAGTATGATATAAAATGGTCTTAAGTGATTCAATAGAAAATGTGCAGAAAGCACCAATTTTTATTGGACTAGTCTTCAGAACAACTGATTAGTAAAATAATCAATAGCTGCAGCTCCTAGATCAGGCATAAACTGGAAGAGTGAGCTTCATAATGTCAGCCTCCATCCTAATCTCATCAGTGTGGCAGGAATGACCATTCTAGGCAGTTTCTATGGTAACAAAACATAGAAATGAAGGTAACCTTAGTGCAGGAGTGGCCAGCTCTGGGCTGGGAGGGCCAAAGGTCAGCAGGCTCTCTTAATGGCTGCATCACAAGCAGAGCTGAGCAGAACCTAAAACCAAAGCTTCCCAACTCTCGGCTCCATTGCGGTTTTTGTTAAAGCCTGAGGTTTAACTGCAGAGTTAGTAAGTGTCTGTGTGTGTGGCTCTGTTTGTGTGTGTGTGCATTTTGACAACACCATCTCATATCAGTAGGTTAAGGTAATCAGGGCCCTGCCAGGAGACCAGTCTGAGGCGCAGGAGGGAAAGAAACGGGAGAGTAGCAGAAGCTGAGTGACAGAACAATCACCTTCATCATTCACTTCCCCTGAATTCTCACTGTAATCTGCCTGCATGAACTCCGTGCTGGCTGGGAGTGACGGAGGTTTATAAAAGTTCTGCTCTCTTCTGTTTCTTTGCTGGTCTTCAATCCAGACTGGCGGTCGCCGCTCCAATTTCTCTGCCACTCCGCGCCGCCAGCAGCAGCAGCAGAACAACAGCGCTAACTCCATGATGCAGCCGCCGCACGGAGCACACAGTCAGCAGGAGGCGCTCCCGTCCCACTGCGTGGCAGCCATGTCCCAGGGCGGGCCGGGGGCCAGCCAGCCAGTGGCGGATCCTCACCAGGTAAGGGACGGCCAGACCCTCTGCAGGTTCCTGAGCAGGACCATCGCTGAGGTGTCGCTGTGTGTCCCAGCAGGGCCGGCCCAGCTCCGTGTCCTCTCAGAGCAGCCAGCAGAGCATGAGGAGCTCCTCCAGCAACAAGCACGTCCCCCCCCCCAGTGCCGCCCCCTCATCCTCCTACTCCCTGCTCCAGCCCCTGGTGCCTGAGGTAAAGGAGATGAACTCGGGATACACTAGACTGAGCGCCAACCCCATGGTAGGAGAGTCCCCACACACCTGCCCCCGCTGGCCCCTCCTGGCCCCTGCTGATCCCTGCCTTCTCCCAGTCTGCCTACTAACATTAGGATGGGGGGTGGGGAGGCTTTCTCTCTCTGTTGATGTTTACCTTGAATTATGAGCTTTACTCCGTCAAAAACTCTCATCAACTGATTGCTGGTAACCATAGACATAGACCTGCTCATCATATCCATTGCTCTCAGTCTTTTTAAATTTCAGTCCAATTATAAATAATATTTCCCTTGAATTCTTATCAAGCTTCCATTGCACTTCTGCTCAACTAAGCTCAACTGAACTCAACTTGTCTAAAGGCGCTGTTAGCCAAAGCAAGTTACAAAAGATTTTAAATGATTAGATTGGGTTGGGGGATGATCTGTATATTTCAATAACTATAATCATAAATACTTTGCCTTCTTAAAGCTGTAGCATGTAACTTTTATAGAAAATACTTTTTTACATATTTGTTGAACCTAATATGAGACGGATAATCTGCGAAAAAATCAAGCTCTTCTGCGTTCTCCCTGTGCTAACTAGAAACAGCCAATCAGAGCCAGGAGGCGGGTCTTAGCACTGTCAATCACCCTTCCTGTAAAATTAAGTTGTTTCTCCAGCATTGACACGTTGAGCAGTACATGCATGAAGATAATTTTTAAAAAAAATGTATATATATTTATTGAGTTTTTCAAAATACAGCATACATAAATCATACACAAGAGTATGAAGCATATATGTATTTCACAAATTATAAGAAAAATATACTCTTACCAATACGACAATGAAAATAAAAACATACAATAACTAAAATTAAAATAAAATAAAAACAAGTCGGGGCAATTATCTAAATAACTGGTTACACTGCACTGGTTACCATTTACATTTTAGGATGGTACTACCTGTCTATCAAGGCACGGGTGGCATACTAAGAGGCTGACCGAGCGTCGGGGTCAGTCTTAGACTGAGAAAGTTGGTCCAAAAACGGCTGCCAGATACTACAGAACTTATTAGTGGAGCCCACAACATCATACCGCAGTTTCTCCAAATGAAGAATCTCAGTAAAATCACTTAACCACTTTAAACTGAGGAACCTTGTCAGTTTTCCACAGTCTTAGTATTACTTTCTTAACCGTTACCATCCCATACATCACAGTGGTTTGCATAGAAATGCTGCCAGTTTGAAATGAACCAGTTTGTCAGGTTCCCAAGTGAAGAAGAATATCCAAACAATGCAATCTGGGCATCTGAAACCAACGTGCACCTATACACTTCAGAAAACAAGTTAAAAATGCCACACCAATATTGGAAGAGTTTGGGGCATGACCAGAACAGACGTGCCAGGGAGCCATCAGTGGACTTACATTTTGAAGATAATGAGGGGAGGGGAATATTCTGTGCAATTTCATTTTAGAATAGTGGAGTCTATGAAACATCTTGAACTGAATTAACTGGTGTCTTGCATTGATAGAACATGACCGGATCCTCCCAGACTTCACTCCCAATCTGCAAACCCAGCTCCTCCTCCCACTCAGCCCTCAAGGAGTTTGTGGTAAAATTAATTTGCTCTGCAAAGATCTCAACAAAGCTTGAAATTATAATTTTTTATTCTGGAGAGCCCAACAGCATTTTGCATATCTTATTTTCTTCCGGAAGACATACAAAATTTGGGATGTTAATTCGAACATAATTTCTAATTTGCAAATATCTGAAGAAATCTGGATCCGGAAGAGAGAAACAGTTCTTCAACATTGCAAATGAAGCAAACTTTTTGTTAATATACAAATTTTTCAGTGTAATTAGGCCATTTAGTCTCCAATTTTTAAATTAAATATCTGATAGTGATCAGGGAAAAGCATGGGTACGGTAAATTTGGGCATGAACTAAGATCTCTGGTAGGTTATAGTATACCTTAATTTGTTTCCATATTTTCAAACAATTTAAAACAATCAAATTATTTATTCCACTATTTGTAGGAGATATTGGTGCTGAGAAAAGAAGTGCTGGAAGATAACTGTTTATAACACCACTTCTTTCAATAGCCACCCAAGGGGGAGAATTTGCAGAAAGTTCTTGAGCATCACCTTCCTGCCAGTACGCCAAGGCCCTTGCATTCGCTGCCCAATAATAGTGCAGGGTAATCCTAATCCCCCCGTCTCTCTTAGTTTATGTAAGTGAATTTTTGATATTCTATGGGCTTTAAAGCCCCAGACAAAAAGGCAAAATTATTGAGTCCAACAATTTAAAAAAGGCCTTTGCTAAAAAAATAGGCAGATCCTGAAAAAGATATTAACATTTAGGGAAGGACACCATTTTAATAGCATTTATGCGGCCCAACATTGAGAGTGGGAGTGTTCTCCATTTATCAACATCTTTCCTAAGATTATCCACTTTTTCTAAAAAGTTCAATTTGAAAATTTGTTTAGGGTCTTTAGGCAAAATAACTCCCAAGATATTTCAGTTTGTCAGTTATCTTAAATAAAAGGTTATCTAAGAATTCATAAATAAGGCTTGCATCTAATGACATAAATTCACGTACATGAAGATGATTGACAGCCAACCCCATAAGAGGAGTACAAAGGATTTTTTGTACCCCTGTACAAAAAAATCATGTTGACAGTTCTAACTGTCAACATGGTGACAGTTTGATCAACCCCATAACAGGGGTTGGCTGTCAATCAGGCTCTGATTAGTTGTTTTAAACCAGTGTATTTTTTCAGACAGCAATAGCAACACTGGGTGGGGGGGCGTCCATCTGTTCACAGATTGTGTTTCATAGCATACGGTCACAACATGGTGACAGTTTGAACAAATATGTAAATATTTTTATTTGTTTTTATAAAAGTTACATACTGCAGCTTAAGTTCATTTCTATGGCGACTGCTTTCTTTTACTACAAACAGCGTTTGGTCTGCGATTGTTGCTCTGGATAGTCTAACAGGATTCCTGGTTGCACTAATGTGAACCGGCTGCCTGCTGCACACATCAGACTCAAAACTAGTTTAAAATTTGAGGTGCTGTAAAAAAAATCCTAACTGCAAACATATGCTTTCCAGAAGCCAAACCCTTTAAATTATTTTACTACCACAAACCTTTTGTTCTGACTTTGTGTGACAGACCAACACACTCTAGTGTATCCCAGTGAAATGGAGGGAAAGTTCTACATGGTTCTCAGTTCTTTAACAAATATAAAGTGTAAAAGTTTGGCATTCATTTGTATTCAGCCTCATTTACTCTTTTACTTAAGATGAAATGCAGTGCAACTATCTTCCTTTATAAGTCTCAAAAATACTTTATTGATTGCAAAGGAAATGAAATGAAGCTCATATTATCCAAGGTTCTTCAGAGAGTTGTAGCTGCTGATGACTTGCAGGAAGGATCAGGAACACGTCATCATTTTTCTGCCCTCAGAGGTTCTTTAGAGAACAACCAGCCTGGTGTGGACCAAGGAACCCAGGAGACGTTTAAACCAGGGTTCTAGAACATCTGAGCTCCATCAGTTCTTCATCTGGACATGGAGACATGATGTCTGTCCATCTGTGACAGTTTTCAGTGAAACTAACGTTTTTGTTGTGATCTCGTGATATCGGTGTAGCTGCGTGAAATTTACAAGATGGATAGAAAGGTAGATCTCCCAGAAAGAAAGGTGACTATAAAGCGTTGACTCATGAGGGCTGAATACAAATAAACATTTTGGGTTCACTCTGACTTTAGCTGAAGCTAATTTTTAAAATGTTTTTTTAAATATAAATTTAAATGCTAAAAAATGTTGGCGAGAGAAACTGTAACTGCTTTCACACATTTGATTCTCTGCCATCCTTCCAGTAAGAAATCAGATGTATATTTAATCTGTGGTTTTTCTACCACAATGAAGGAACGTTTAGTGTCAGACAGCACCTCAGCCCTTCACCAGAGCCTGGACCGAGGTTCTGCTTCTGGGCTCGTAGTTTCCCCACCAGTACACACAGGGCCTGCAAAGAAAACAGAGTGAAATTCAGCTGACACAGGGATTCTTTCTGTTGGGATATAAACCGTGCGTGCGTGTGGATCCTCTGGATCCTCTCTCTGATTCTACTAACCTGGGGCTGTGCTGCTAATTCAGTCTGCTTTCCATCCCATCACAGCTGCCGTTACGGCCATGTTTGTTGCACATCGCAATCGGAAACATTTCACTCATACTGGAATATTAGTCTGGCTGTGCTGTTTTTAGTGAATCACTGAACTGGTTTGAGTTTACAAGTGAGATTTTTTTCTGAAATTCAGTAAAAAAAATCTTAGTTTTTTCATATCTTAATTATTGAACAGGCATAAGCTTTCCCTCTCTGTTTACACACACATGCGTGCACACACACCAACTCATTAGATTAGTACAGAAAATGAAGTCTTTTGAAACAGTCATTTAAAGTGACATTAAACACCAGCAGAATCTTTAGTTTTTGTGCCATGACTGAAGCGAACAGAAAAGGAAAACTTGTCTCCCAGTTGCTGTTAAGTTGTCTTCTTTGGACCTGAAACAATTAATTGTGACAAATCGAATATTACAATAGTTGTCAACTAATTTAGTAATTAATTGTTCTGGAGAATAGAGCTTTGGAACGTGACGTCACTGCTGGGATATCAGCGCCATCTTTGGGGTCTTAAACATAACCAACAAAAACAACAGTCTTGCAGATTATTTTAATCCAAGTTACTTAAAATAATTTAGCTAGGGTATGAACTTGCTGCGTTATTGATTGTGATGTCCGATCATACGACTGAAACAGTAAAAAAATGGAAAATGGACTTTCGTTTTACTATTTTCCTGCTTGGAAACAATGTGAGGAGCTAACGAAAAGAAAACGAATGGCCTGGGTGTCAGCGGTTGAGACGTCCTGATATTACGTTCTCCAACATCCCCAGATACTTACAAGTTTGCTCCAGACATTTCCATTCTGGTGAGTGTTTAAATTTGCTTTGTTGGTGTTGTGTCATAATTTTTTGCTATGTTTT